GTTTTTGAGACAAGCCTATACTTTTACAAGATGTGAGTTTGGAATACGATGTTTCGCACTGGAATAAAATGAAACAAACCATTTGTATTTCAAAGAAATATAGCTGTTTTAAAAAAAAATTCTAGGAATAACATTGATAGTCTGAATGATAACACAACCCGAGAATAAGCAACATTTTAGGAGTTACGTCACGATTTTTAGAGTCATTTTTAGGGTCACAAAGAGTTGCCTTTAAATAGAATAAAATCTTGAAATGCTCTTGTTCTAGGGTGGAAAACACTTAAGAGGCAAGAACAAATCAAAATGGAATGAGAATGGCAAAGATGGCAAAGATTAACAAGGACTGCAAATGACGAACTTGAAAAAACTAGGCTAGTTTTTTCAAGATGCGCAAACCGTGACATAGCTCCTTTAAAGCAAGTGAGACATGTCCTTGAGCTTTCGTACGTAAGTTGTCTCATTAACTGTAACGCTCACATGACATGAAAATGTAGCCAAGAATTAGCTACTGATACTAACATCAATTTCAAAAACGAGAATGGGAGGTTCATGCAAGCTTCAAGCCAACTAACGTTCAAATATAACTACATCTGTCTGTTCATTACAATTTTTTAAATTCGTCCTAAATTAGGCATTAATGTGGCTCTTTAAATGACCTCTTGTCACTCTCTGTAATTAACATTTCGTTACTTGCATCAAATTCGGGATTCTTATTTTCATTTAACATATTTTAGTTTTCCACTTTCATTTTTTATTCATCATTATCTTATAAAGGATTTGATTTTTTTTTGGATTTTTTTTCCTTTAAACCTTGTTTTTTTTTTTTCTGTGATCCAATCCGTGATCCGATCCGTTATCCAATCCGTGATCTGGTCTGTGATCCAATCCATGATCTGATCCAGTGCGATCCAGATTTTGTCAACATCGAATGGAAAGCTTTCCATTCTTTTAGGAGGAGAGATAACGGTTTCCAATAACTCCACTAAACGGCGTCAGAATGGCTTTAAAATCGGCACAAAAGAAAGGTGCACGACACATTTGAGGAAGGAAAACTTTATTTGTCTTATTTCAAATGAGATAGTTATTTACACAATTTTTTTTTTATGATCAGTGATTTTACCATACAATTCTCTATATACACAAGCTGTCACATACACCACATATTTTGAGCTTGGGAAGCCTGTGTTTTAACTCCTAAAAGGTATGACAGCACCCCTGTCCTTTTATTATTTGGGAGTAACCCCTGCCCGGGTCTTGGCCCCCCAAGGCGTTTTGCTAGGCTCAAGAAGGAGGTTTTGACAGGTGGGGAAAACTCGCTGAACAAGAGGGGAAATGGGATACATGTCAATCCATTCAACTTTGCACCTGCACTCACCTTGCATGGGGATTTCTCAAGGGGGAATTTCTATACCTATAAGGAGGAGAGAGATACTGTACAGTCTGATAGTGCCTGTGTGAGATTATACCACATTGTCAGTTTTGGCCACTGACAAGAAAGTAAATTTAGTGGTGAACTATACCACTATGGTTACATAACACTCAACTGTCAACTTTAAATGAGATCTTCAACAATGCGAACCTCTCAGAAGTAGCAGATGAGGGCTGCATCAGTAGGGTCAATGATTTCAGTATTTTTTCCTCTCTGTCAACATCATTTTTATTTTGACTTTTGGGGAGTAAAAGAAACTTTGCTCTATTGTGCCAAATTCTTTTGCCTCACTATTCTGCTTGAAATTATGCCAGCATAATGTACTGAACAACCTCACCTCTGCAAATTGTGTCAAGCTTGCTTCAGAGAAATGAGCAGCACATCTGTACTATTTATAGCTGTGAGATAAGATTTCTCAAACCCTCAGTTTCTTGAAACTCCCAGTAACTCAAACCAAAAACCGTTTCCCCTAGTATGTTTCACCGCAGTCCTCAATATCTTAACCTCCCAGTTTGTCAAACCAATTTCATTTTTCTTTGAGGGTAGAGAGATCAGGATTGTCCACTGTTTGTAGTGTACTTGGCATGGCTTATCCACTACATCAAAACCGCTTGACTAATTTGTGAAAACAATGCCTTGTTTTACCTTGAGTGCGTAATGTACCTTTGTTATTTACTGTCATTGCGGTGCTATAACTAAATTAATATTTTACCAGTTCATCCTTTACTTATTTTAATCTTTTCTTGTTCATTTGGTCTTCATCAAGTAAAGTACAATATTCAGAGCAGTTGTAGTTGTGTAATCCTTGTCATCAGACATTGGTGAATAGCATGATGCAGGCAACAGTTTATTCATGAAGATACATGTATCACTATTTCCAAGAAAAATTTGATGTCGATCATGGAGTTGAAAAGTTATCGTCTCTCACTAGAATATAGCTAACGTAACAACTGCATCTGAGTCTCATAAGTGAAGTTTCCCCTCAAAAAATTATGGATAGACTTTGCGGTGTTGTTTTCCATTGTCTCTTTTCATTTGAATTATTTGAATGACTTAAATCCCTTTTTGAGCTCATAGTGATTTACTAGTAACTTGAAATCTCATTGAATATCTGTGACTCTTGATCCTATTAGATCAGTACAATACGCAAGACCAAGATTTCTAAGTAGATGAGAAATGGTGTTTGTTTTTAAGATTTCCACAGCAGAGCTGACATCAAACTTACCTGTGGCCACTAGCACTGCAACAGGCACCACTTGATCCATTACAGTGCCGTAAGCCACATGTTCAGAAACCTGTCGACAGAGAACATCATCTATGATATCCACTCTGTATATTGCTTGCAAAACAGCAAGTTTTGCTCCTACCTTATCAATCTTAGCTACGGTTGAAACTATAGACACTGCACGATGAAACAACTTATTGTTCCCAACTTTGACATCAATCATGAAATTTCTAAAAACCTTGCCTTTTAACACATGAGCCCCTGTTGAAACTGCATTGAGAATCCACTTTACAGATATTTCCACAAAACACTCTTTCAAAAAATCAGCAAACAATACTGACATAGAATGAAATTCTTCAAAAAGGTTTTTCTGTCCAGATAAATTACTAGTAATGACTGGAACAAGACACTCAGTGAAAAGAGTGCTTAATGCAACTTCCTTCTCAGAAATGATGCCAATTGCATGTGCTCCTTTCTCATCCATCAGATTGATAACTACTCGGATTTTTTCAATTTCTTTACTATCAGAGCAAATAAAGACTACAGTGTCATGTAATGTCAGTTCAGGCAAGACGTTGCTTTGAAAATCTTCCAGTGAAATACACAGCTTTCTTGATCCATCAAGTAAGAGTTCCCCTTCCTTGTTGTCAAGTGTATTGTAACCTCCTTGTAGAAATCCTCTAACATCATTGAAGTTTGCACTAAATGTAGAGACACACTCAGAGGCATCTAATAGGCCCATGACTCCCAATGACCCCCATCCAATGTAGTACACATGACCATTGCTCTTTAAGCTCTCTGCAGTGAGTTCAATAGCTCTGGATATGCTGTGACAACCGAGATATGTTATCCTGTACATTCTCTCATACATCATAAGCACTTGAGGTAGATTACTAACTACCAATGCTGCAGGCTGGGCTTGTGTGGCATGAGCTTTGCATAATATGCACTCCAAGAGAATTTTGGTGGCACTTCCTCCTTTCATACGTGATGAACCAGTAATGGCTTCTGGGCCAATAACTGGATTGAGGATGATTTTGTTAAATTCTGTATAGAAAGAGAAAATGTGTTCTATATGTAAGCTTAGTATGCCTTCGGTTTAGGTTGTAATAGGGTTTCACTACAAGTTCTTTAAAGCACTGGAGTGCAGATTTGAGAGATCTATGAAAGCATGTGGATGTAACATTGGGTTTAAAAAACTCTGCAATGTAACTTCACCAAAACGTCAGAGGATTAAACTCCATCCTTTTTACCCCACCACTTTTGCCTTCCTTCCTTGGAAATCTCTCTTACCTCCTAGCGCAGTGGCAACATCAAGGAACGACTTATCCCATCCCTCTAGAATAATCTGCCTTGCTTGGTTGACCGGATTGAATCCCATAAGAACAGGAAAGAAGATATCTGGGTGCCTCATGCAGTAGTCCAACTGGCCAGCTACATAAGGCGCCGACAGACCGCAACTTATTCCAATAAACAAGACACTCTTCTTGTTACGGGACACCTCTATTAAATCTTGTTGGCCTTTTTTCCAGTCATCTTCAGATGCTCCCCGGGATGTAAATAGAGCAATGTCTCCCCCTGCGATAAGATATTCATAGCACACTGGCAACTGCTGAGTTTTGGCAAGCTGCGAAAACTTCTGAGCCAAGATAAACGCGAGCCTTCCAGAAGTACCGCAACCACTCAAGACGATGGCTGTCTCACCACTGCTGTCTTTTAACATTTCTGTTGCTTTCTGTGCTATTCTGTCCATAGCAGTGATTACCTCTTCATCGTAGATACTTGGAAAGTGTTTCCAACCAGAGAATATTTGCGAGTCGCATTGACGTAGAGTTCTCACAATGTCACTTGCAGTGGCGACATCGATGCCAGATGTTAGTTCATTTGATCGTTCTGTTATCGGAATTGTGCTTTCTTTCCTCAGATTATCCACACTCATAGCAAAGAGGTACAGATGCGTATTTCATACACAATAGATACCTGATCGGATCGGGACAATCACGACAATTCCCCGTGAAAACATACATGTAGATTTGTTCACTGGTCCAAATCACTCACCGTGAAGACCAACTTCTACCAGGCGCTTCGTTTCTTGACGTATTTGAAACCAGCATCGGGAGGCAGGGGAGACAGTTTAGATCCCGAACCAGGAGGAAAAAATTTAGAAGATCAATTCGGTTTTTTTAAACTCCTGTAAAAATTTCTAAAGTACTTTTCTGATAGTCTTAATTTGATGATAAAAAGGTGGGTTATAAAACTACTTTATATATTAGTAATGATTGTAGTACGACCCCACTAGACTACCCTGGTAAAGGAAATTTAACTATCACCCCGCTAGATTATCTCTCCAACCCAGAGTGCATTGCAGTACACCTAACACAGCGGCCATCTTAGATTGTCGTGTTAACCGGTCCATCATCAGTGGTTTGTCGAAAAATGGCAGCTAGAAGGATTGGACAGTATGTTCCAGATTGGATCAAGATTGCTACAAAAGTTCCTCATGAGGCAAGACCGAATATGAGTGCTATGAGAGCGAAATATGAGACTATTAAAACGAGGTAAGTTGTGTTGATCATGATCAAGATATCGGCATGACCCGTTTATGCGCGAAATATGAGCTCAAGAATGAACTTAAGTTGAGTAACAGAGAGAACCTACAACTTTTTATCATTATGTAATCCTTAAATAGTTCTTCAGCGCTTGTCCTAATACAAGACGTATTTTGACGAGGCCATGCATAGGATGAGTCAAATAAAAACAACGAGTAAAAATATTTTTACGATGACTGCAGAAATTCTCGCGCGTTCATCGGCCGAGTTTCTTTGTCTTTTTTGTGTTTTTGTTTTTGTTTTTGCTTTTTTGGTCAATAAGCGGACAGACGCACGAATTTTATAATTTATGTAATGCAGCAACAAGCGAGAATGGACAACTTGACAATAATTTGTTATCGCATAAAACAAATTGATGTCACTTTTTTATGCATCTGCCCTGTTATTGAAAATGAATTTTGTCATAACATTGTCAAAGTAGTCTGCGGACCCACTCGGCTATCGCCTTGTGGATCCACAGCTACTTTGACAATGTTATGACGAAATTCATGATCAACAACAGGACAGACACATGAAAAACTGACTTCAATTTGTTAACTGGAGGATATTACATGGCATTGCAGAGATATGAATTTTATGGATGGAAAGTGTGACTGTCTTGCCTGATGCACACCAATCTGTCAAGTGGGTTTACTCCTGTACAAATAACTGACTAATATTCTATATCGCTGTATGTTTGTACTCGTTTTGCATGTAATTTGGACAACATTCACTGTGGTTCAAGGCAGCCTGTGCTCTTGACTAGCAGTGCCTGGTTGCCTCAGGTGACCAAGATTTGGTCTTGGACCACAAAAAAAATTCTGGTCGCCAGACCAGGCACTTGGATTTCTTGTGTGCTGCTCAGCACTCTGGTTATGCAGGCGACTTAATGTAGCATTATATTTGTGGTTGAAATTGATAGTGTTACTTCCAGAAAGATATGTTTCCACATAACACACAAATTGATTGTTTACTTTTGAAGTTTTTCTCAATGATGCAGCATGCAAATCTCTACATAAAACGAACTTTTTTGTGTATACAAATTTTTATTCAGCTTAGTCTGCAGATTAACATGAGTAAACTATATTGAACCATGACTTGTTAGCAATTTCATTTTATCAAGATTTGGTGATCACTTAACTTTAAACTACTGGTAAATTTCATTTATTTTTAGACTTATTTTGGTAATCTTGAACAAAAACTTCTAAGTGATGTTGAAATTTAGAAAGTAGTTAATAAATTAATGATTTTTCGTGGTATCACAAGTGCATTAAAATGTAGTGGCTGCTAAAAATAATAACACTCTGCCGTATTGTGAAAGGTTCATGAAAAAAAAAAAGTTGAAGCATGGCCTTAGTACAGATTGTCATTTGGCTTTAGGAGAATGCTACCTAATTTGTGGAGGTTCCTGTGACTTCCTGGGTGTCTTTGTAAGCACGGCGAAAGCTTTGCAAAATTCTTTGAATGGGTCAACTACCATTTTGGCACCATCTTGAATGACGTAAATCTCATGTGCTATTGCGCATGTGTCATGGCAAGAGTAAAAATGCTTGTTTTTGCCGTAAGTGTTTTTGCCCTTACTNAGGTAGTTCTTTTTGAATATGGATAGCCTCCTTTATCTTGAGTTGAAAGCTGGTAGTGGTGTGATCTAAAATATGAAAGCAGTCTATTGAACACAATGAAACATGTCTTTTAAACTTAAAAAATTGGTCGTTTTCCTTAATCTTTACATGTCTGCTGCTATCTAGACCAATTGTAAAATCTTTGTGAGCCCAGACTCATAAGAACACACATTAAACTACAGTCAGTACAGTGTGTTGGACACAAATAAACACTTTAAGTTTGATTCAGACAGAAAGCTAAATCCTTGATTAAAAATTTGAACCAAATTTCTTGACGTGGTTACCAAACTGCAAAATAGAAAAGACCAGTGTATCTGCCATTTTTCTTATTTAATCAATTTTCAGCAATAGAAATTAGATCAGTCTTTTCTTACGCAAAGCTTATGATTAGTTGATTACCGTATTTACCCGCGGATAGGCTGCATCCACGTATGGGCTGCACGCCAAACTTTCAATTGGTTTTCATGGAAAAAAAATTATTGAGGTCGAGGCAAAGCGAAGTCTTAAATCAACAGCAGCTGATGTGTATCAAGTCAAGTTTATTTTTAACCATATATACAAATGTGGAAATGTTCAAACAGTTAACCGGAACTTTTTTGCTGACATTTTATATTCAGAGTAAATCAAAGGCAAGTTTGTGCGCCTTATGTACAAACACAAGTGAAATGAATCGTAACACTGCAGTATATCAAAATTAAAATCCAATAAAATCACTTTCATCAACGTCATTTTCACCAAAATGTCATGGTATTCCTGTTCGTCAACATCCAAGACTGAAACTTCATCTTAATTATTATCGAGTCATGCCCATGGGAAATCATGCAAGGCTCACTGTGAAATCAAAGACCATTCTTAAACATGCCGGCATATTTATTCCTACAAGTGAATATATGAAAGACCATATATTTGAACTGTGGAGAAAGATATGAAGATATGATTGATCATTGCAGTTATACACATGACTTGGGTTTGAATCCCGTTCAGGCCTGAATTTTTTCAGGCTTAAATTGCACAACTGCTTACTTTTCTTTGTTTCCTTCTTTTTTAACACTGCTTATTTTATGTAGCGTAGCTTAAATAGTGCCTGTACTTTTTTCTGGGAAAGAAATAACAGGCACTGACTGTTGCAGCCTGTAAATGCAGTTTTCCTGATTTGGTTTCGTTGATTGAATCCGGTTAAGGCTGGGATATCAAAATGGACTGGGTGTAGCTATTTGGCGGATGGTACCATTCAGTATTGTGGGCATGGTGTTTGCACAAGGAAATCTGTTGGGTAATATTTTTTCTTCCTCTAAGTTCCACCCCCTGCGAGGAGCCCTGATATTAAGGCTTCAGCCAGTAGAGATGAGAACTGTATACTAATCATTCAACATCTTACGGCACTCGCCAGTCGTGCCTCAGTGATACAAATCAGTGGTGGATCCAGACCTTGAGCTAAGGAGGGGCCCTGGATTTTATTGCTTGCCCTGCCTGCTTTTCTTCCTTCTCCATTTTTTTTTTACCCATCCCCTAGATCTGCCGCTGCAAATTGATAAATACAAAGAAATAACAGGGTTTGTTGTGTATTCAGTCAAAATATTTAATGATTTATATCATGTTTTCAGACATGTGACAACATAAAATTGAACTTAATTGTATAATCTTATCATATAAAAAAGAAAATTGACCAGATATTTAGTATCTATCTCAGCTGGGGGGTTCAGTCTCAAGGTGATACATGTAGACGCAGTCATACTGTGGCCTCAGAATAAATCTTGGTTTCAATGAGTGTCCTGTGCACTTCATTTTATTGCATGACAAAAATTAGCAACCTATTAATTATCTTGGACAAGACTCTGCTAACTGTGCGTCTTTGGGCTTTAAAATTTGTTTACCTGCAACTATAAATAATTGAATCGTTGTTCTCTATCATGCAGTCAAGTTATCTCAATTACTGTAGCCCTATGAATTTCAAATATGGTGAATCTGACAAAAACTATGATGTTTCGTGCAAGAGCTGTACAGTATGCTTGTTTATTGTGTCCTTTGGTCAGTAAAACACGGTCGATGTTATGATAACAGTTTGGGTGAGAAAATAGCAATGAAACCCTATCTGCAGCCACCGGTTTAACAAGGTGAGCGTATAATATTAATTTTGTATTTAATAGGATGCTAAGAGCTAAGACTTGCTTGGAATTTTGGGTTTGACAGCAGAGACCCTTATTCGATTATTTGTAGTTGTTGACACCTCAAGTTAGCGATTTTCCCGAAATAGAGCGTGCATTTTCCGTGCAGTAATTGAAAGCCCCAAACTAATCTTTATATCCTTGAAAAGAGGAACATTTCCACTAATTGCAACTTTAATCTCAAGTGATTCGCAATTATACTGCATAGGAAAAACGTGTCTTGAAAAAACATTCCAAAATTAGATTTTGAAACCATAAAATATTTGTGATTTTTAAACACGTGCTGTGAATTCAAAATTAGACGAAAAATCCTGGTTTTCAGCTTAAATAATTTGCCAATACCTCCCATACAAATACACAAAAAGAAAAAAAAGTGAACTTGCTTTTGCACTTTTCAGGAGGGAAGTTGTTGTGTTGATAATCGGCACACTAATTTCCACCTTTTGTAGCGGTTGGCATCATGTACAATTTTTATGATTTTTTTGGAAAACAAAAGTAGATCTAAACAAAACAAATATACCACGTTTATTAACTCATCATGGGGTATCTCTGAGCGAAAGATGAGGGAAATCAATTTTTCAAGCATGTGCCACATTTTTAGTGCAGAGTGCACTATTAAGATGGTTTGGGGGTTCACGTCGCTAAAGTACTATGGCGATAAGGCACTATGGCACTATGGTCATAAGGTGTAAACTTTAATGTTTGTATAATTAATTAATTTCAATTAATTTATTAGGCTTGCAGCAAGGGGGGTAGGTATTTGCGAGCACTGCGTAAAATGTGTGGTGTATGTACCTACGTTACTTCCTTGAGCTCTTCAAAAAGCTATTTATACGTTTCAAAAAGCCCCTTGCTCTCCTTGTGGTACTTTTCTCTTTAGAACAAAAGCAATATTTGTGCTAAACGCATGAGCAGATTAATAAGCGTTAGTGTCAACTACATATCAGATGGAAAATACATTTCATACAAAATCACACACTAACGTTGAGCCCTTTTCCATGTGGTAGAACCCTAATAAGTTATACGCATGCGTTCTAGCATTGTTAGCGTGATAGAAGAATGCTACTGTGACTGCGTTCTTTTGGCATTACGCCTAACTTGGTTCAAGAAATATCATCTGTTTGCAAACTACACTAGTGCATTTATTTCATTCTTTAATTGTCTCTATCAAACAGACCAAAAT